CTGAACAAGAAAGCTCTCTCCTCAGCCCAACAAATGTTTTGAATTTGTTTCCATGGCTCATCAATCTTCCCATTCCATCAACCAATCATCTCAAGGATATTTTAGAAAACCGCATAAAAGCTAGAAACTCTCGCTACTTTCGAGAAAGAGATACTTTCCAAAAAAATAAGATTCGCCATCTTGCTGATGCGCTTCAGCAAGCCAAACTAGACGAGGRAAGAGGTAGTTCRGRGGACAGCGATGTAGTAACCGATAKTGATCTCAAAGCAACAATYGACAACGTTTTTGGTGGAGGCAGCGAGACCACGGGAACGGCCTTAGGATGGTTGATAGCTTATATTGTGAACTTTCCTCAAATTCAAGAAAAGCTCTATGCTGAAATCAAAGAAGTGTTTGGAAGTAATGGAATCATATCACTTCAGAAGAGAAACGACTGCCATTATTTGSAAGCGACTCTGACTGAGGTTTTGCGTCATGCAAGTATTATCCCGATGTTTCTGCATAAAACCACGTGTGACACCACCCTCTCAGGATACAGCATTCCTAAGGACACCGCTGTTCTTCTCAACATGTGGGCCATCAACCACGACGAGCAACATTGGAGCAATCCCCAGCAGTTCAACCCAGGAAGATTTCTGGATTCAGAAGGTCACTTTACTGGTACGACTAGGAAGATGAGCTACATGCCATTTGGAGCTGGACGAAGAGTCTGCATTGGTGAATCGTTGGCCAAGACCGAGTTGTTCCTGATATCAGCCACGTTGCTGCAGAGACTGAAGTTTCAAACTCCTGCTGGATGCACTCCCCCTGATCTCAACGTTGGAAGTTTTGGTTTCGTCAATASGACGCAACAATTCCTGGTCACTGCATGTCTTCGTTAATTAAATCCACAATAGCTAGCCCGACCTTGCGTTCTAAGAGCGTCTAGTTAATCATGCATGTTAAGTTTTTGCCCATATATATTGTAATACTCGAGAACTTGGTTCCCGATATTGTACTATCTAATGCAATTTTGTTATTATTATTTAGTACCAAAGTTTCTGAAGTATAGCGAGGAAAATAAAATCATTGCCTATATKCATGTCGTGGGTTAAACAATGAGTTGACCTGCGAACTAGRTATTCCGGTCCGACCGGCGACCAATGATTGATCGCTTMAGGAGCAMAATAAGGACTAGCCAATCAGCGGTTACATTTCAGATAACCGAAATAATGCAGGGAGACCGCAGCGGTCACCTAGAGGATTATGAATTTTAGCATGCGCCATTTKAAGTCTACTAAACAATCGTCTATACAGCTTTATTAATTGGTCKGATTGACTTATCGTAGGAAACCACTCAGCATATGAACTGATTGAAGAAAATTCTTCTAKAAGGTAAAGACAGTCGAAATAAGACATTAAAAGGTGTTTATACCGAGTATAAACTTATTGATGATTTAAAATAAAGCGATAGCTCAAAATTTCATGCACTGTTACTGCGTTCTATATACACAGAATAATACTCCAATYRCGAATTCTCTTTTGTGCAAGCATAAGTTTGTATTTTCTTCTTTGTACAAAGAGTAGGAGARTAATGATATAGCAAATGCGGCCAGATAATGCTGTTAGATACTAARCTTTACATGAAGTCGAGCTTTCGCTGTTCTACAACATCATCAGGACTGTACAAAGAGTGTTTGCATTACAATGGCATCTCTGCTGATAAAAGAAAATATTAATGCTCTCGTGCTCTCGAGGTTAACAAGATTAAGGCTGCACAAATATAAGATCTCAAAAGTAGACTATTTGATTTCATGTGACGATGCAGRCATGMAACATCTTCAAAGATACAAACAGACTTTTCTACACCAACGGTAGAACGAAATGCGCAGACCAACGAAAAAATATAAGAGTTTATGTAATCATTGCCTCAATCATATGCAACAGCCTCCGTGAGTTCCGTGCAGCCATAAACTTTCTTTGCGTGCAAGCAATATTTTTCAATATTTATTAATGTATATGTACACTATCAAGATTGGACTCGATAATAATCCATAGAGTATGCAWTATGTGTTCAAATTCTGAATAGATTATAGGAATCGATCATGACTACGATCACGCATTCATGCCAGATTATTTCGGATCTAATTACCTACAGAACACTTGACGTTGACCTTAGCATTATAAAGCCGATCTTGAAAAGGTTTTAGCTAAAAATACATTGTAAGTGTTCCAAGTGTGTAACGTTTCCTKCCGATATATCGATTTACTTTATGTTGTTGGAAAATTCATAGTAGTTTCTCACTGAAAAAAAAACCAAGCCATTCCAGACCATTATTCACGAGCAAGGAAGTAAATATTTTCTAACTCGCATGGAAACCATGGAAACACGAACGTGCTCTCACTCTAAATTTACATATCACAATAATTTTTCCTAGTGCCTTCTTTTAAAAACATCYCGTTGTGGACATCTACAATATGTAAGACAGTTATAATTAAGCATCRGGTCTAGACGTCTTCTTGTCTATATTAATTAACAGGAACATCGTTTAATTGTACAAGTGATATATGATAATTTGCTTTTTTTCTTTTTTAATTTTTTTAGTTAGATCGTTAACTGGCCTGAAAGATTTTCAAGATGGTAGTTGAGCTAGTCGTTCTGTTTGCAGCTTTAATTCTCCTGACCTACATCTTCAACTGGGTGTGGTCATCACGTGGTCTTCCTCCAGGCCCCCCGCGATATCCACTRKTGGGAAGTCTTCCCAGTTTGATGCTTTCGTCCCCTCAATACCACAAGTCACTGACAGATATGGCAAAAACCTATGGAGATGTTTTTACCTTGTATCTCCCAACTGAAAGGGGTTGCAAGCCAAACATTGTTATAAACTCGTTTGCAGCGGCCCGCGAAGCACTTGTAGTTCAGAAAGATGCATTTTCTGGAAGGCCAAGTCAATTCACAACAAACTTGGTCTCCCATGGAGGTAAAGGATTTGGCTTTAGCGATTTCAATGCCACCCTTGTGTATACACGTAAAATCGTCCATTCTGCTTTGCGGCTTTATCAGCCACACCTTGAGGAGAAAATACTTACAGAGGCAAACGAGATTGTAAGACGTTTTGAGTCCAAGGACGGCAAACCGTTTGATCCCAAAATGGATTTTTCTCTAGCTATATCCAATGTAATTTACGCTATTATGTATGGAAGACGCTTCGACTTAGAAAATAAGGAGTTTATAGAAAGTGTGCAGCTCTCGGATTCGGCCAGCAAGTTTTTGGGAGCACTGAACATCTACAACTTCTTTCCCTGGTTGATCTATTTGCCTCTTCCGGACACCAAATTGCTGTACAAAGTTTTAGAAAATCGCGCCATAATCCGAGACTCWAGTTATTTCGAGGCAAAGAAAACATTCCAGGAAAATACAATACGCCATCTTGTTGACGCTCTTCTCCAAGCSAAACTGGACTGTGAACRAGACGGCRTCACCTCGCGGAAAGTTCGATTGGATGATGTTGATCTTGTCGCAGCGACAGGCTCTCTCTTTGGAGGTGGWACGGACACGACAAGTGCTGCCCTGCGATGGTTGATAGCATACTTACTGAACTAYCCCAAAGTCCAGGAAAAAATATACCGTGAAATASAGAMTGTATTTGGCAAAGCGCCAATYCGATTSGATAAAAGAAATGGSTGCCATTACCTACAAGCGACGCTGACGGAGGTGTTGCGAATCACAAGCATTGGTCCACTCTTTGTGCACAAGACCACGTGTACAACCACCCTCTATGGCTACAGTATTCCTAAAGACACTACAGTTATTTTGAATTTCTGGGCCATAAACCAYGATGAGCGWAAATGGAAAAATCCCAATCAGTTCAAYCCAGAAMGATTTCTGGACTCAGAMGGCAACTTTACTGGTACAATGAAGATGAGCTACATGCCTTTTGGMGCAGGACGACGAGTTTGTATTGGCGAGTTGGTGGCWAAGGAGGAATTTTTCCTAGTGTCTGCTACACTAYTGCAGAAGTTTAAGTTCGAGATACCTCCAGATTGCTCCCCCCCTGATCTCAATGATGGGTTTCTTGGAATTACTTATACGCCAAAGCCACACAAAGTGGTTGCAAGTCCACGTTAGGGGGGTGCTCATCTTAATATCCATTAGTTAGGACATGCATAACTCGATAATGGTAGCTTCAATTATATTAATTATATTGATATTATTATAAATACCCATCAAAAATTCTCTTTTGTTTTTTTTTTTCATTTATTTAATCGACTTTTCTTCCCCTCCCGTTATTTCTCCTTCTGATTTCAACGGTGCGCGATACTTAGATTGACATTAGGCAACAGCAAGTTCGTGATATAGTAAGATTATTATTTACTCGCTTTAATTTACTCGTAATTTTTGATCCGTGATCCTACAACTTTTCATGTGCTCAATGATTATCTCTGTGTACCAGCCTGATATGAAGCATTAAAATATATAATATCAYTAAACTATTATTATGATTTTACAAATTTGACCGATTGAAAAGTTTTGAATAACMTAGATTTAAAGCGTATTAGTGTCCTTCGATCATACTTCCCATTTCAGTCATGTACGATTACCTATTCAATAAAAAACAAGACCTTAGATTACTATATATATAAAAAACAAAATACCACCAAAATCAAGCAGCCACCGACATGATACACTTTAGTACAAAGCAATGGCCATAAGAATCTGTTTAGGATCGTGCCTAAAAGTACATACGAGTGACCACGAGATAAATGACTCACTGATAAATGTATTGTGAGTGATGATTACTTGTTATAGAGGTGGGGCGTAAGGGGATTATCGCTTATATAATAAAGAAAACATTTACWTTGAATCAATTTGCGCAAGCTGACTACATCTACACAAGCTTTGTGTTCTACCTGTGTGCACATCTATAACTGAACGGTAAGTCATCATCATCTAGAGAAATACAAGCTTAACTTTAACTATGGGACTTGATTTAACTGTGTTGTACTTTTAATACGAAGCACTCTAATGAATAATTATCTTTCCCAGTTTCTTTAGCAGTTATTGTATAAATAACGTAGGCAAATTCAGCTATATAGATAAATTTGGTAAACGATTGCCGATTTTTGTGCCRACATTCGCGCAGATTTGTATATACATTTATTTCATACACATTACTTTATCTTTATGARTTCTTATAAACTTGTTTTTCGATTGTTTTCTTCGTTATTTCTCTATGCGTAATTAGTTCCACTTGTGCAATTAGTTAATCCTTTGACAACCTTAGTTACTAAAAGAGGGAACTACCTAAAACCCCTTAAAAACAAAATTACAAAACTACATCTAATAGTCTCAAAAGTTATCGAAAAATGTCATAAACATTATTATTATTCTATGACGAATCGGTCATATGACCATGCATGAATCATTATGCAATGATGTCTCATGCAGGACGTTAACTAGTTACGTTTTGACACATTAATAAATGCTATTACATAATCGGTTGTAAGATAACATTGACTTTTTAAAAACGATTGAATCTATCTTGATTTGTGTCGTATCACACTTGGTTGCAATTTTGTTTTTGAGAGTCCCTAGCACTGGAAAAAATCGCGCGCTTTAAAGGTTGAAAATTTGATGTAAATATGAYGTAAGTGACCAAAATTCTGTAAATTTGATGTAAATGATTTCCATTAAATTTACAAAATTTTGGACACTTACGTCATATTTACATCAAATCTACAATCTTTAAAGCGCGCGATTTAATTTTTTCCAGTGCATTCTTAGCCTCTGCTCATTTAAGTCTGATTATATCTCTATCAAATACTTAAACGTTGGCAATTTGGATTACAATTGATATTACTTGTATTATCATTATTTGTAATTAATGATAATTTTAAGTGCTTATATGATCTTCGTACTATGTATTCCAGTTGGAAGGTTTACCAGGAGCCAAAACAGTGCTCTACTTTACAGGAGATGATATATTATGTAATAGTTGGATGAAATTTTACCGAGTGTTGGATCAACWGTGTAGTTGGTCCACGAAACACTTATTTGTATTTAACGGATGATATTATTCGATAAATTGACTCGTTCATATCTGGCAATTTATCGTGATTTATGTGTGTTATACGTACGGCAGTAAGTTGTTTCACCTATTTTGTCTATTAGTTATGATGTCAAATTTATCTTTTTACACCGCAACTGTTTCTTTAGAAACCGACTCATCTTACACTATTTTGCCGCTAGTCTCCACCATTTTGTATGTATTATGCATTGCTTATAGTAGAGAGTGGCACATCACACTAAGCTGACCAGAATCCATGACATAACATTAATTCAGTTTTACTAATTTTGCTTTTCCTATTTTCACACCAGATTATCCATTTAGTAAAATATTATCAAGATGTTGCCAGAGATACTCGCCATATGCGTAACCATGGTTRTTCTRATTTATATCGTCTATCGGGTTCGCACTGCATTTCCTGGTCTTCCCCCAGGTCCAACGCGATATCCGCTGGTAGGAAGTCTTCCAAGTCTAATGCTCTCGTCCCTTCAAAACCACAAGGCACTGACAGAGATGGCAAAAACATACGGTGATGTTTTYACTATGYAYCTTCCCTCTGGGAAGGGCTGCAAGCCAAATATTATCATAAACTCGTTTGCAGCGGCCCGCGAAGCACTTGTRGTTCAGAAAGATGCCTTYTCTGGTAGACCAAGTCTATTTACGACAAATTTGGTCTCCCATGGAGGTAGRGGATTTGGCTTTAGCGATTTCACTTCCACTCTTGTGCTTACGCGTAAAATCGTCCATTCTGCTTTGCGTCTTTATCAGCCACACCTYGAAGAGAAAATTCTTGAAGAGGTACATGAGATTGTAACACGAATTGGTTCCCATAAGGGCCAACCATTTGATCCCAAGATGGATTTCTTTCTGTCTGTATCCAATGTYATTTAYGCCATCATGTATGGAAGACGTTTTGACTTARATGATAAGGAATTCATAGACAGTGTCAAGCTGTCAGATTCATCAAGCAAGTTCTTGTCATCACTGAACATGTACAACTTCTTYCCYTGGTTGATCTATTTGCCTCTTCCGGACACCAAATTGCTGTACAAAGTTTTAGAAAATCGCGCCATAATCCGAGACTCTCGTTATTTYGAGGCAAAGAAAACATTCCAGGAAAATACTATACGCCATCTTGTTGACGCTCTTCTCCAAGCGAAACTGGACGATGAAAGATTGAACGTCAGCTCACGAAAAGTTAAAGTCGATGATCTTGACCTTGTTGCCGCGACAGGCTCCTTATTTTCCGGTGGAACCGATACAACCGCTACTACTCTGCGATGGTTGATAGCATACTTACTAAACTATCCCAAAGTCCAGGAAAATATTTACCGTGAAATAGAGAATGTATTTGGAAAAGAGCCCATTCAAATCGATAAGCGAAAGTGTTGTGATTATTTACAAGCCACTTTAACAGARGTTTTGCGTATCGCAAGCGTTGCGCCCATCTTTGTGCACAAAACCACGCGTGACACTACCCTATCTGGGTACACGATCCCTAARGACACAACAGTTCTTTTGAATATCTGGGCAATCAACCACGATGAGCGAAAATGGAAAAATCCCTATCAGTTYAACCCAGAAAGATTTCTGGACTCAGATGGCAACTTTACTGGTACAATGAAGATGAGCTACATACCTTTTGGCGCGGGAAGAAGAGTTTGTATCGGYGAGTCTGTGGCGAAGGAGCAATTGTTCCTAGTGTCTGCTACACTACTGCAGAAGTTTAAGTTCGAGACACCCCCAGATTGTTCTCCCCCTGACGTGAATGACGGGATTCAAGGAATCATTTATGAACCAAAACCCTACAAAGTGATTGCAAGGCAACGTTAACATGACTTTTGAGATAAATAACATTTAATATACTACGGTTTCTGTCTTTGGCGCAATGCATGATAGGAAGGAGGAAAAAAGAGAAGTGTTTTCTCTCAACCTTTCCCTTGATGCATTGCACGCGAGAGAGGACTGGGGAAGAGTCAGATTTATACGTAGCGTCCATTATTTATATAATTATTTAATGAAGTGCAAAAAATGACCTTGATGATTAGCATCGATTCCCGACTCAAAATTGCGAGATATTATATATTCTTATTTGGCTCCGTGGAAAAAATAAATGAATCACCTTGTGATCTTGAGCCAGTATTCTTAAATTAGCCCTAAGTCTTAATATCGAATGAATCATACATATTACATATATATTTATGTCTGGAATATGGTAAAGATTTTTAACTTTTTAAATACAAGTTTTTCATATTTGAAATGAAGTTTGATATCTAATATTTTTTCTAGCATATCACAGTATTCAAAAAAATCACTCCMAGGGCAATATCCCTTCCCAAGCGACAGAGGACTGTTTACATTCCCCTTGCAATGCATTATCTGATTGCTCCACAAATTTTGCAGTCATTTGCGTGTTCACTCTCCTTCGGACACCATCWTTGTAGCTTATGAGGGGGCTTACTACTTGACATTATCTACAATGTGTATCTAAATGCAGGATATSAATAAAAGATTAAATATATAATCTGTATACTTTTTATCATTTTATGCTTTGTGAGACTTAAGCATTTATATTTGAGTTATTTTGCATTRCGACCACACTGTAAAAGCGTGGGCTTCCTGTGATTTAAAAAGCCYGAGATGACATGTAACCTGGGTACGAGGAAAGGTACCTGACCATCATCTGGCTGTCTGGAAGCAAAATATCCCCAATAATGTCTAAGTTACTCGACAAATTTCGTGGTTCTTTGTTTGGTGCTTTAGCTGGCGATTGCCTTGGACTATATTTTGAAGGTTTAACTCTATCACCAATCCCTATAAATCGAGTGAAAGACTCCATGTCAAAAGATGAGAAGGCAATATATTCAGACGACACAGCAATGACACGGGCTATTTGTCGTTCAATAATAGAGAAACAAGGTTTTGACGATTCGCACATCGCGAATGAGTTCTGCAATGAATATTTTAGGGAGCCAGATCGTGGATACGGCGAGGGAGTTGTAGAAGTATTTCGCAAATTGAGATCAGGACGATATGAGGATTTTGGGGTCCCTGCAAGAGAACAATTTGGAGGATCAGGTTCCTATGGCAACGGTGGTGCAATGAGAATTGCTCCTATAGCTCTGTTGAGCAAAGATTCAAAGAGTCTTATCGAGGTATCTAATATCTAATATGCACTACTGAGCCAGGGTCTTGGTCGCCTGAGACAGGGTTGTGATATTGTTTAGTGTGGGATCACCGATCAGTTTTATTTTGAGATCAAGGATCAGGACTTTGATAGGATCACAGGCACCGAGATTAAGAAATTTGAAATGTGATGTATAAGATACATGGGAACTGACTCATTTTGATAGGAATCGAGATCAAATTGGGATCACAGATGAAACTTTTTGTCAAATTCTGGACCTCACAAGCAAAGTGATCCTATATATGTCACAACCCTGCATTCAAATGGGTTAATCTAAAATATATCTCATTGGTTTTATTTTTCAAATGTTTTCTTCTATAGAGAGTGTACTAAATTATAATATATTCAAATAATCTCCATAACTGTGCTCAAATTATTTTTTAGATATCAAATAAGCCTGTATATATAACTTTTTTTATTTGATTTTGATATTTTAAAGATTATCTTTACACATTATTATTGTAGTATGCTCGGCGAAGTACTGAAATAACACACACTCATGCCAACGGAGTCAAYGGAGCCATTCTACAAGCACAAGCAATTTTTGATGCATTAGCAATCAATCCACCTAACATTGACGTCAATAAGTAYGTTGATGGCCTTGCTAATGTGGCACRTGAACTTGAAGCTTTTTCTAAGCAGTAAGTTGGAAAATGTAGTGTACGTAATATATTGTGTAAAACAAACATTTTTAAAGGGCAATAATATTGTATTTTTCATGTAGAATTGYTAAGGAAAATTATCATTTCAGATAATGCTATCCTTTGAGATGTTTCTTCAATACATTTCAAATATTTGACCATACAAGTATGTTGACAATGAAACTTTACATGTATATCTATCTGCTTATGAATTCCTTACAAATTTTAAGGCTTTTTTTGGCTTGAAAAACTTTAGTGGATTGCACACCTGTGTTGTAACTTGAACTAAACCACAGGTAGTCCAAGTCTTTTGCACAGGTTACCACAGGTAACCCAAATCAATATAAATTTCTTTTTCACAATTAGGTCTTTTATTTGAAGCCATTTCTCTTAGTTTGCCACAAGGACCTTTATAGAACACTTGCATGTTATATGAAATATTGATATTTTATTTTTTAGGCAAGGAGAATGCCCAGAAGAAGCAATCTTTCCTTATGAATCTAAGATAAAACAGATGAAAACCCTGCTATCTTGTCCTAATGTCACGCAAGAAGAAGTGGTGAAAACCTTTGGCAAYGGCATACGAGCAGAACAAGCTGTACCAGCTGCAATTTTTGCTTTTCTGTTCAAGGGAATTGAATCCGTTGAAGAAGGTATAGCTTTTGCTATTTCTCTTGGAGGGGATACAGATACAATAGCTAGTATGACGGGGGCGATTGCTGGTGCATATTTAGGGCTTGATTCAATATCTCCAAGATGCAGAGAAAGATGCGAAGCATCAAAAGAAACTGTTGATTTTGCAGATGAGATATATAAATTGAGGCAGACTTAGAAAATTGAGACTTTGTTAAAGAATTGAGAAAAATAGAAAGAGGCAGCTCAAAACCTTTTGTTGTAAAAACCTCAAAACCTAGATTGTAAGCCGTGTGGCTGCCAATTGCGCCTTAAACAGCGGTCCGTGTGAAATGATCTATACATGTGAAGCGCCTTTGAACTCAGAGGATATCGGCGCTATATAAATACCACATATTATATTATTATTATTATTATTATTATTATTATTAAACCTTAAAATATATTTATGAAATACCAAAGCACCAAACTAATTCAATTTAGAATTATTCCACACAAAGTCAGATGAATCGTCGAATCGATTTACGTTACGTGTAGCTATTTTGTATCACCCACGCTATAGTCACTTGCCAATCCTCTGACTGCTATCAAGTATATCATATCGGGTGCATTATGGGTAATTTAAAGCTTTTTTCTTTTTTCTTTAGCTCTAAAAAAAAAACCAATCAAGTTAAAATGGTAGAAACTAGCGGTAAACTAGTGTGAGCTGCGTCGGTGTTTCCAAAGAAACAGTTGTGTAAAAAGATAAATTTAACACCGTAAAAAATAGGTGAAACAACTTACTGACGTTTCGGACGTTAATCCTTCGCCCGAAACGTCAATAAGTTGTTTAACCTATTTTTTCACGGTGTTAAATCAATCAAGTTAAAGTACTAACTTTGAAATATCAACTGCCGTAGTTGTTGATAAATGTATAAGTACAATGAAATAGTACAAAACACTAACTTGTAGCTTGAAATCTATGTTTTAATGTACGTTTCCGCACTTCGGCTTTCACAGTCATATGTTAGAGGTCAGAATTTCATCAACTGATTGAATCCGGACAAAGAATTAATAAATAGATAAACTAAATAAGCAAACAACGACTTCGCTTTAATTCTCAGGCTGAGAATTACGCCTAGTAAGGGAGAGAAGAGCTGGACCCTAGACCATTCATAGATTAGTCACTATTTTAAGGGCGCCAAGCGAAAAAAGATCCTAATTGTATTCTAATTTTATGAAATGATTTCTTCTCATGTTTTGGCACTCTTAATAAGAARGAAAAATCTACCGCAAGGTGGTATTTATCTATAAAACCTCATCCGTGAAAAGTTTCGAATATTCAAAATAATGGAAATTTATAATGTTCCCTAACTATTACACCAAAGATTTGGATAAAGAAAATAAACTTGAAGGCAAAAAAGAAAGAAAAACTGTTTTAGAATTCATCAAGGGCGGACATCCACCCATCAAAGGTAAAATAACATTAGTTACAAATAAGTAAGGCCTAAGAGATAGCGCTGAAGATAACAGCTCGTCCTGCTGTTTTACTGATGACGAAGCCTCGGCGCGCAAAACATACAATACTTTCGCGGCAATAGTAATCATTTGTTGTGTAATCGTATAAGAACCTTTTAGCAAATTATGTTTTTCGATGGAAATAACATTACATGGGAGATTGTACTAAAATATGTCAAAAACTGAAATTGGTCAATTTTTTTCATTCAAAAATCTATTAAAAGGGCTAAGAAATACTGGCAAAATTTGTAATAAAGAAAAGGGGATTATTTTTTTTTAACAATTCGAAATGAAATCCGTATATTTATGACTGTGGGTGTTGCTATATATGACTTGTATTGAATTTTACATTCGAAAACTAGTCTGAGAAGACATCTAAAATTCTCAATAGTAGGAGAAAAATAGAATTATATAGTGAAAGGAAGTATTTACTTTCAAAACAAGTCAGAGAAGTTCGATTCTAAGAAAATAATAGAATGGAATTAAATTTCAAAATGGATAAAAAAAAATTTAAGAAAGCATTACAATCTAAAAGTTTTTAGTTAAACACGTCGTCAGGGCATTACTTCATAAACATGGCTTAGAAAGACACGATTATAATACTGTTGAGTTGAAAGAAATATAATACTACCGGTCGATTGAAAACAGACTTTAATGTGAAAATGTCAGTCAATTTTGGGAATTTCAAAACCAATTATGAAAACGCATTGTACCTCCGACGAAAATGCATATTCCATGTATAATATAAATAATAGATTGTTTTGTTCTTTTGACTTGCTATCGTATTCAGTTCCTCGTAAATGAATGAAACTGGATGTTTTCGAAAGAGATTGTTTTCGGCGATCAAGATAATGGCATAACATAAACGTAATGAAGTCCGCGTTGCCATGTTACCCCTTCGAGCCAAATTACCGAAAAACATTCTTTTTCCAGAAAAAAATACTCTATATTGCCCACTTTTGTGGCAAAGAGTTCGAATTTTCAGACGAGTCCTTGCGCCGAGTTATTTTCACTCAACTGAGACTTGCAAACTTCTAATTTCTCTCACTCCATTTGTCTTGTCATGTCTTAGCCAATCAGGTCGTACGTGTGGCTAGACCCCATGCAAAGAAAAGATAGATTTCTTGAGGGGCCCAATACATGACAAAGTGCTTATTATGGTCGATAAATTTCCTACTCTCTGTAGGAGTCCTGTGTAAATCGATCTAACCGCGTCGTTTCTAATTTGTTTTATCACCCGGCCTCATAGCTTTAATAAATTCTGTCTTACTATGAAAGATCCTGGCTTATAACAGCAGATGTACATGAAACACGATAAACGCCAGAAATATCGTGAAAAACTGTGAAATTTTCTCCAGTTAATTGTGATTGGACATTCATCAATCATCGTGAAGCTTTTCGTGACCGAAAAAAAGCAATTTTCAATTTATCGCGTGAAAAGAATATACGAACTGTACTGTTTATGTTTAACGTAAGTATAAATTAAACACAGTGTTGAATTAGACACGTCGGTTGGAATATAACACAAAAGGAGAAAATCATTTTCTAGGAGTAAAGTGGAGTGGATTTAAATATCGAATATTGAGCCATGGCAGGGACATCCACGCAACGAAAAAGGTACGAAAATGATTATGACCACATGTACTCAAACCGTTGAATGATTATTTCTTTAGAATGCTTTCTTTAGTATTTTTTTTCTGTTCTCTTTTTCTTTCTAGTATTCTTGACTTGATCATAATCGTTCTATAAACACACATTTGATAATAATATACTTGCTTTAGACTTACGCATGCCCGCTATGCACATACAGCTATCTCTAGTACCAGTAGCTTAAAGAAAGATAGCTCGACGTATGAATACAAGGTGAAAATTTAGTAACTTTTATTTTTTAGACTTTATAATTCAGAATTTTATACTTTTATTCAAAAAGATAAGTAAATTGATGTCATGTCTCCGTATTCAATGATAATTTATACAAATTATAAAGTCGTAATTGCCTTTTTTGTAATTATTTTTTATCTTGAGTTATTCCCGTTTTTCATAAGTCACAAACAACAACGGTTTCCGTAAACATTGGTATAAGTTGGATATGCATATTGATGCCATTACACAAGTATATCATTAAAAACCGCATTTGCAGTCGAAATACTGGGCTATATTTAGATCACAATCCTTGGAAATGAATTACGGTGCTTTTTAACTAAATCTCCGGTGACACCTTAACAAACATGGGATCCCTGTGTTGGTCGGTCATATCCGCGTTCGTTTGAAGTACAAAGGATCCTTTTGTGTGGTTTTCGTGCGAACTTTAAATCTAGTAACGCTTTTTTTAACATTTTTCCACATCAAAGCGAAGTGGTTTCTATAAAGCTTTAATATATTGAATATATTGCTCATGTTTCATGTTTCATTATTTTCAATTTAGATAGTTTGTTAGTTATATATTCTAATTACTATTTTTTTGTTAATTAATCAATCTTTGAGCTAATTATTGCTGTTTTAGTAAGATGTTATTAATCGATCAATTTATTAATTAATCATTTATAGCCAACAATTTATTCAATCATTGAATGCATACAATTTTTTGTTTCATTGATTTATTGTTGATTAATTATTAAATTATCAATTAATCGATCATTAGTCACTGAGCTAGTTATCCAATCATTCAACGCTATCTATTTGATTTCCTATTAAACTATTCATCACTTTTTATCGATTAATAAATCACGAATCAATCTATCAATCAATCAATCATTAAGTTATCAATTCAATTAAAAAATGAAAAAAGAAACTGGCATTTATATGAAGCCTCGCTAGAGGTTAAACCACACAGAATCAAAACAGATCGGTATTCCGTAGACCATGACGTCAGTAGTGAACACCGCAAAAGGGCGGGTAAATCCTTTAATCCGTCATGTCAAGGATCTACTTTTTTGACTACAGTTTTCTCTTTGTGCTCCGGAAGGGTGCTTCAACGCGCAATTCATTCAGTCTTATATTTAATCACTGTTCACTTGAGGATTTCCAAGAATTGGTTAATGTAATGGTTATCCTCCTCGGGGTTTTTTACTACAACATGGCTAATATGGCTTACAATACAAAGATGTGACAGTTAAGACCTAAATCCTTCATTGCACTCGTAAATTATGCCATGTGCTCTTCTTCTCACACGTATTAATGCTTTTGTCATTCCTTTTCACTAATTTGGACGCAATCTTGAATGGCAATATAATAGACCATATTACCAACATGCCCGCCATCTTGAATAAAAATAACAAATCATGTTAACTGTTGATAATGTGTCCGCCAGTTGGATCCACCTTATCGCCATTGCGATCGCCATATTGAATACGAAATCATATCACATTGGCGTTAACAAATTCAAGACGCCATCTCATGAATAGCAATATAATAGGCCTCTTGAACAATATGGCCGCCATCTTGAATAGCAAAATAATAGGTCTCTTTTAACAATACGTCCACCATCTTGAATAGACCTGATTACCAATATGGCCAGCATCTTGAGCAGACCTTATTAGAAAGGCAACAACTAACATCCTGAACATACTTTAAATTACCAAGCCAGTCGCCATCTTAAACATACTTTAAATTACCAAGCCAGTCGCCATCTTGAACATACTTGATATTACCAAGCAAGTCGCCATCTTGAACACATTTTACATTACAAAGCAAGTCGCCATCTTGAATAGTTGAACAGTGTTTTATTAACAAGCCTTCTGCCATCTTGAATAGCCCTTATTACAAATATGGCGGCCATCTTGAATGCCAATGTTTTCAGTTTCAATCAAGTACTACTATAAGAAACTAACTGATTTGTATGACCTAACTATGGTATGACTATGAGAATGCTCTAAGATTATATTAAAATATGAAAAATATCGAAAATCATGTACTACATTTGGATGTTTTAAAAGAATGATTCAAAGTTGAAACCACGAAAAAAAGTATTGAGGAAACGTTTCATATATAAATTTTTAAAAATATCCAACCGAAACTCTTTTAATCAACTCCAATCCTAGTCTCAGAGGTTTCCACTTTGGCACAGGTGAATTTCGGCGTTTAAAGCATGATGCCTTAGGCTCTAAAGGTACTGAATTACGTGCCTGAAGGAGAATTTCGATTAAAAAATTGCAATGTCGTAAAATATTTTAATTTTAAGTTTCATTTTAACCGGATCGACGGTATCATTTTCAAGCCAACTATGATGGGTATAAGCTAAGTAGGAGTTAGTTATCGATATATTTTATCTAATCAGAAACTCCAAGGTTATTAGTTGATTACTGTTATTCTGAAGATCGCTTTACAAACTGTTTACATTGCGTCAAGGTGGTTTTATCAATCAATGGTTCCAACCACTTTATGAAGTTTTATCTGAATAGTTCCATCTATGATCTACTTTGGCAATATAATAACGTTTCCACAATTTCAATGGTTTGCACAGTTAGTACATTAATCTTTTAGAAAAGAGGAGCTTTAATTTAGCGTATATTATACATCTATAAAACAGGTATACTTTGATGTTCATATTGCTCTAGTAATTTTGCTATTAAGGCGATTAAACAAGTGATATTCACTGTCCGTGGGCAGTAGTATACTCCATACGCAGCAAGCTCAGATATCGATAAGTAATGAGTTTTATGAAAGCATTGAAAGGTAGATCATATCATAGAATTTCGTAAATTTTTATGAAGAAAGAGTGACATTTTTATTTTCAATATTGTTTTTGTTAAGGTCCGTACGTTTACACAATGGCGATTTTTTGTGGCGTGAAAAAAAAGAGAACTAAATAGTGCTAAATATCGCAATATAGAGTAAATTAGACATTAGAAAACAAAGCAATTCGCATAATTCAGTACAATTTAGAACTGTTTCATTACGTTTTTCATGATTCAATGTTGGCACTGTACTCCACTTGAAATAAAGCTCACACATTCATCATGTCAGTATGCCTCATAAACAATTGTACATTTTGAATTTCATATGACGTCATGTCGAAATAATCCGATTATTAATATTAAATAAATCTGCTCAACACTTCCGCTTGTTCTCACACACTAATCTGTTTTCAAAACAAAGACGCGCCTTTGTTCCTTCAATATATCATGTGATTGCCAGACTATTCACACTTCCAACGTGATTTGCACGTTCTAAAATGCGCCCTAACGATGAACGCTCYAAKGTTTTCGTTAAGAGTTTTTAATTGTCCTTATATGAAATYTYCTAAGASCGTAAAKCAACGTAGATAAGMTACGRAAACGCATTATTGTGCTGCGTTTATCAAGTAGYATYCTTAATWTTCTTGCGTAACGTAACTAGAAATCCAAWTACACCGYGAAAACTCGCTATTGTGGACGWTACGGAAACGCATTAKTGCAGACGCTACTTTGTGTCTTACCKCTTGATTCTTAATTTTCTTAAAAACGTAACAAASCGGTGCAAATACGCTGCGAAAACRTATTGTTGTGTASGATACCTTACGTAAGTATTACGATTTCTTTGCGATCAATTCTATTATTCTTAATTCTGTAGAGTTGTAAGATTTTTGTTTGTTCTTAGCTCCATAGACGAAGGGGAGTAATACGCARCAAAAACGCAGWGTRGGACACGTGCTTCTGCGAAAACGTAACTAAGGTTGCAACYGAGCCAAATAATCAAATTATTCGATATTTCTAAGGAACAAAAGATGTTTAAATAGATGCGTCGGTTAATGCATATTGAATTAAATCAATCAAAATAATTGCCCTTCAATAAATAAACAAGGTGGCTACATTATCTATTTTTAGTCGCGCGGCCATTTTAAATTAATCCAGTTTGTACTAAAGTTGAATATTTCCAGTGTTTTATTTCGAAGTAAACTGCATAGTTGGAACGTTCTCGATGAAGAGGCTTTAACTTAATCCATAAATAGCCCAAGATTAGCATATTTTTATGTCCTTGGATGCTYCAGAATGTACCTAATGGGTACGGGTTTACCGAGCTTAATAGGAACAACCTTTTTGGTTGTCAAAAGATCTCTTGAGTTATTTGCTCTACAAATGGAGACTAATACACCAGTTGGTGTGTTGATCTAGTAGATATGTAAACAAACATCATTGCTTCAATTCGAACGTTTCATCTGGTTTTCAATTCGAACACTTGATCTGTCTTTGTTCCATCGACTGCTAAGGGGTCACAACTTAGGCAAACAATACAAAAAGGATAAAAAAAAATTGCCTCCACTGTTTTATACTCAAAATCAAATAACTACTGTTGTGGACGCAAACTTCTTTTTCTGGCAAATAAGGTAAAAGTTCAAATTTTAACGTACTGTCTTGTAGTTTGTCCACAAGTTTGAATCATTGGGAATCATTTCTTGGTGATAATTAGAGCAAGTTTTAAGGCCATTGAGGTCAATTCAGGCTATCCTTACAAGAGCATGGGAGGTACTATCGCGTTATATTTCTCTCCTATTTATTGAATTGAAATAAGCAGAACTTCGCAAGGGTCCATTAGAATTGACCTGGAGGCCCGTAGCCTCGAGGGTTACATGTACTGTGAAAACACACGAATGTCAGCGAACGAAGCATTAATTGTATTTCTTTAGGCAGCTGTTCAGCTATTGGCAGAATATTGCTTGGGGACTGGAACTTCTGTTGTAGAAGATTAGGGTAAGTTTAAATTGGTTGCCTATTAGAAAAGATCGAGTGATATTGTGTCATAAATCAGCCCGTCTGATCAACATCTAAAGAGAAAACAGAAGTGAACATTTTCTCGTTAAAAAGTCACTCTCCTGTATCGTAGTTGATGGGGGATCAATCGAGGTAGCAGAGCGAATTTAGATAAGCTTTTTTTACAAAAGTATTCAGAAATATTACGCAGTAAAAGCATCAGACCGAAGAAACAAAGACTGGTAATAGCCGAAGTGTTATAGCTTATAGTACAGAGAACCTATAGACACTAAAGAAAACAATGGAATTAAAGAAATCAGCGAACGCAACGGACTTTTTTCCTAGGCTTCTTTCACCACAAGTGATATTATAACTCGCTCAAACCCGCTACGTATGTATAAAATATAACAAAACTGCAAGCCCTATGGAATTATTAGTCAAGCATAATTTATCAGTAAAAATTCCCATTCATAAATCCCTATAAGAAGAATGCTCACCATAGTAAGATTTCAAAAGTAAAAAAAAAAAAAAAAAACCCTGAAAGACGATGCTATTTTTAGTTTTCAGTCGTGGCATCCAAGGTACAAATTTCTAAATATTTACACACTACAATTGTAGATACCACTGTAAACCACTGAATACAATACAACCTAAAACGAAAACAACTTTCCATTAACTTTATTTACTAAGCTTTTGTTTGTTGGTCAATATCTCGGGCCTATATTTGCGCACTCTGGGAAACTGTTTCAGGTTCTGCTTACCTGGCAAGATTAAGGATATCGGGTCATTCCGTGACATGACTTGGTTTATTAAACTACCGTGTGAGGTACAAACCAATGTGAAGCGCAATCAACGGCTTAAAAACTGCGTGATTGACGGAACCGTAGAGGTCAGGCATATAAGAGGCATTCACTGGCTTTCGTATGTCGTTGAATCAAGGGCTGACTGCTAAGAAGTGCTTGGTTTGTTATTTTGTAAGTATTAACTAGAGACGCGGTTTTGCGCCGGATTTTTTATGGATTTGAAGACAATAGAAGATAGTTTGTTACAGTTACAATTTCCCTTGATGGCAATCTAATTAAGGTTTGATATCGTGGAAAGCGCTCAGGGCTTATTCCGGGCGGCGTTCAGTATAGATTCAGCGATCCTTTTGATCTAGAGATAACTCATTTTTTTCTATCTGGAAAGATTTAGTAAGTACTACATTTCTGATACTATTATCTAAATTGTCAAAGGGTCAGGAGAAAAAGCAATGCGCAACACTCGACGCACGGTTCTTGAAAATCTAGAGAAAAGTTTATTCTCAGTATCAAGTCTTCAACATAACGTAACTGAAAATGCTTGAATTCTGTCTTTAAAAATAAAATCCTGCATCCTTTTCAAAGGCGTTGAAGATAGGAGAAAGCAGCGATTGGGAATTGTCAAACGTAGATTTCCGGACYGAAAGGAATCCTGGTTGTTGAGTATTTATTAAAATATTACCTAAGAATCTGGAGTACGAATATTTCATTATTAGTAAATGTACACTCAATTAAACTACAGCAATCACTGAGACTGCATATCTAAAAATAAAAATTAAAAAAGGAAGAGTTCCTCGCGGTCGAAYGAGTAAGACAAGACTCCTTTGAAAACGATGCGACATACCACTTGTCAATAATCCACAAACCTACTTYATTGTAGTAGAAATTCTGCAATGTGTTCGTCCACGAGAAAAGGAAACGACTCTTTATAAAATTTGACAGAACTTKTACATGTTGACCTTTAAGTCTTACCTCTGCCTCATCAATAATACAATAMCAAAGCTAACTATAGGTAAAAACAACTATCTGCTTGTCTGTTCTATGGCTAAAGTTCCGGATTAAGGTAGAAATTAAGAGCAATGTAAAGCTGTATGCTCGACCTCTGGGTTGTATAAGCAAAAGAAGGCGTTTAGGTTTTACMRTATCGCCATTCGGATTCCGATTACTTATGGATAGGGTGATCTAACGGCAAAAAGAAGCGCGCAGAAGCCGAGAAAAATATTCGCCCAATGTTGCCTTTAAATTTTTGATGCRGTGAATTGTTCAAGCTTAAAGAAATGCTTTCGAAACAAGTGATGGRAGGCTAAAGGGCGTTGCTCATAAGTAGGTATACWGTGCAAAACAAGGCGAAACAGCTTCGGGAACACGCCCTGAGTCGACGCCACAAAGGCGGATCGGTTGGACGTCTCAGTAAGCTCTTATAACTTGTTTTATGAGCAAAGGTTGTGAGATATCATCAGTTTATGACCGCCTTCAAGAGTCAACGATTGAATGACTTATATCATCTTTCATTCAAAGACCCTGAGGAAATTTGTCTACCATCTTGTCAGCAAGAATAAGCTGCCAGACTATCGGGTTTACAATTAAGTTATATTGCTATCGATTTATAATTATATAAACGTTAAAATCAAAATATTGTATCAAATAAACTATGATAAATTTTAAAATCGACAATTTTCTTTGTACATGACTGTTATCTTTGGAAAAAGGCGTGAGATATTTATAACATTTCTAAATCCATCTGTAGCTATCATGAATTAATTTTAGAGCCCTAAGATATGAATATAGAAATCCATAGTGTAGCTTAACAAACAACTCCACCTTTTAAAAACAAGAGCGATATTTTTTTTCTCTRATAATTTAATCTCCACATGAAGTTTTGCCCAACCAGCTCAGACAAGTCGAATTTAAGCGAAAACATTTGCTTACTTTAATTCTGTTCTTAGTATTTTAACTTYTAAAATTAATTTATTAGCTTATTACAAGATACGTAACAGTAAATCCTTCTTGAAGTAAAAAGTTTGAAAAAAGCGGGTAGTCAACGAACCAGTGTTCCACGTTTGTTTATTTATTCTTTGTTTATTTTTTTTTTCCTCCCAAAATTTGCGATATTGAAGTTCTAATTTCGCTTAGCTGTAATATGTTTTGGGAGAAAGAGCCTTTTTCTCATGGTTTTTAATGGAAACTCTTCATGTCAATAATTCCCACGCTCTTTGCAAGGAAAAGAAACCTAACCAGTCCCTAGTATGTATTGACAACTTTATGACAGACGATATTCTCGAGGAATCATGCTGATGARAGAATCTGGGAAAGTCAAGAAAATCGCGACCTTTGAAGAGTCAAAGTTTGTCATTAACAATTTAATAAGAAAAMGCGCGCTTAACATAAATTGGTATTAAAAACTGTACTTATTTTAAAATTTAGAATCAATATATGGCAAAATTATATGTTAATTGGAAATTTTACCTTTTATGGAAAGGTAGAGCGCGCGCGCGTCCAAAATTCAGAAAGCGCGGGAAATTCGATAGCTCTCACAAGGCGGGAAATTGTGAAGTATATACTCAAGYCATCAGAGTGTCGAGAGATTGATGAGTAAGAAGACAATCAAGGCAGCGTGGGTGGTAGAACAAGCCTTGATGAACATTTCGTGGAGGTCTCCGTATGCTTAGCAAATTACTTATATTTGTCACAATCTCATATACATTTTATCTTTCAAAATGCATAGTGAGAGGAGCTCTCGTGGTAAAACAAAGGATTTGATTATTTTGATCGACTATAAATGTTTTTTTCAAAGTAGTTGTTGTTTTATGTTCCAACGATTGGTTGAATATAAGATGTTTTGTTAATAAAATCATGAAAATAATAGATGTTTTCGTAAATGCGTRATAAAAAGACTCACCTTTGAGCGAAGTYGTGAGGGCGAATTAGCTTTCCCAAAGCATRCAACCTTGAAAAACAACAGCCAACAGATTTATTAATAATTTATAAATACTATTTGAATCTCAGATGTATTCGTCTGAAAAGAGACATGACAAGKCATAAATATTTGAATACATATCTGATTTTCGCGATTATCGACACAAGTTCATATACGGAGACATGAGCCATGTGTTAGCATGTTTTTACGGTTTAGCTAAGCATTGGGTAGCAGTTTACTTTGAACTTACAACAAAACTCGTGAACACTACAAAACCACGTGTTTTTTTTCATGTACGACCATTTTATCATCAATTATTTATACAACAGTAGCGTTATTYTTCATAAAATCAACTCTACACACTTCAAAAGATCAGTTTAGTTTAAACCAAGTGTATTCAAGGAATATAGGTTCAGTTAGAGAATTGGATAGCTAAACAATTGATCTATAATAACAATTAAAGCAAAAAATGTTTAAGAAAACATAGCACAGAATCTCTTTCTGTTTCTTGACCAAACAATAGTAATTAGACTAGATGTTTRGAGTTTCAAGCTCGAGCAATATTATAAAGAAGCGAAGTCATGCTTAGCGCACCTGTACAGACCACGCAAACACCACACTCGAGAAAAAGAACTGAACAGGAAAACGTAGCGACATGGTAAACACAAGAAAYAACAGCTCTGGCGTRACTTCGTGAATCYAGTACTTGATAATTTGGTTGAAAGACTAGGTACTTCAGAAGAAATTGAGTTAATTGTTGTAGTTGAGATACGTATCAGACTTTGTATGTTTTTCATTGAGTGTGAKATTCGKTGTTCGCTAAATTGTCCATCGATAATTCGTCAAATAGTAGTTTTTTTCTCATCAGACGTTCTTGTATTTTATGCTTCGAACTTCTCTATCATATGAATTCAAAAGTCAATGAAAATTTTAATCTATTGAATATCTATTTCAGAACTGAATAACCCCTAAGGCTCAAGACGAAAGTGGTTGACCATTCATACATTTAAGGTAAAATAATTTGAAAACGAAAACTTGATAAAATGATTTATATTTCCATGAGGAAGTACTTGCTTAAGGAACTGAGAAGCATGAAAAATGACTGATAAAAAATGCAAAACAAAACGGAAACATTTCCGTATATGTGTGATAAAACTACGCTTTGGTTTATTATATCATGCAGTTGACCAAAACAATTCTCTCTCTTTCGAGGAGTTGTTGTTTTGTAACGGAATTTATACGTGGGAATTCTATTTTATTTATCTTTTGGTCTTACTTGAAATGGGATTTCGAGTTTGTGGTTGTGATCCGAATGAATGGCAGTTTCTCTGCCGTGGTCGTTTCTCTTAACTTGTATAACAACAATGAGACATAACGTTGAAATATAATCAACATTATATAATTCCATTCGGAAAAAAATATATTTCGGTTTTTTTAAATGCTTTCAGTTTCAATGTTTTTAACTTAGCTTCTTAAATTTTTGTTACTAAATCTTCAAGACTTGTGTGTGTACCATGCAGAACATTTATAGAATGTAAATAGGAAAAAAAGAAACGGCATTAAATATTTAAAAGACACGAGTTTGTAGCATCGCGTCTTGATAGAATACATGCAGTTAGCTATTACAAATTCAGAGCCGTAACTGTAGAAAGTAGTGAAATTATTTCTATCATGATCAAAGTACAGATAATGCGTTACTTTTAAAGTGTGGACAAATCTTGTCTGAAAACGTAAGAACTGAAAAAATTAAAGAATAATTTGACTATGAAACATTAATTGCATTCACAATGTTTGTTATGCAATACACTCTTGTTATTCTAAGCCTACAACGAGGGGTGTGTGTCTCGAGTTTCGCATGCCACACCCAACAMCCCATCATCTCAAGGGCTTTTATAGCTTCGCTTTTTCAACACAGATTTGAAGCCACAAATTTGCGAAATATAAATTARACTAATACACCTTAGTATAGCTAATATCAGATTGTTTCTTCAGTGTTTATTTGCCTTTACAAATTGACTGTAGATTTTGCTAAATAGGTTTATCAGTGTCCAAATTACTATAACCRCAGATCAGCCCGGTACAATTAAAGGAATAAAAGGACGATAATAAGCTCGTTACATAAAGTAGGTATTTGACTTTGTGCTACTGATCTGTTTATTGGTCACATACCCGAGCAAAACCCACATGTACCTGGGGAATCCCGCATGTCCCTGGACACCCCCAAGGGCCATGAAAAGTGAAAAGCTAATTGTAGAAACGTAAACTTGAAACTCGTATTTAAAATATTTTTTCTGCCTGTTCCTGGATATAAATGGTTACTAAAGGCGGTTCACACCATTGCGATTTTTGCGGGGATGTTTTTGGCGATTTTTACAAATTAACTAGTTTTTCTCTTATCCTAGACGACTAGTTAGCTCATCTCTTTGTCGTGAACAAAACTTTACAAGTTAATTCTTTAACATTACTCACTAGGATCAATATGGTCACAAAAATCGCAGCAAAATCCGCCGCAAAACTCGCCAATGAGAAAGATTTGTTTCACGAAAAGTCGATATTTTAGCCGCTGCACGATCATTCAGTGGCACAAGTCACGCTGTTCCACTGTTGAGACATGAATGTATTAAACTGGGAGATTATTTTAGTCAAAGTAAGGCTTTAATCGGACCCTATTGACTCTCTTTCTATACAAGATCGATTGATTTGATATCTACTCATCAACAAACTTTAATATATCTCCTGATAAGTGACTTGTAATGAACCAATACGGGGGTCAAAAGTCGATCGCGAGATAAAAACTAAACACATAGTCAAATTCAACATGGGCGTGAGCCAATACCCTATTAAAATAATCTGGACAGGTTTTTCAGAAAAAAAAAAATTACCGGCGAAAACCAAAGGCACTTTACCACACAGAAAGAATGACRCACTTGTCCACCGAGACGAAATTATCTCATTATTCAGAAACGTCACTTTTTATACAACACTTTTATCTAAGCTGGGGGCAAGCCGCAATCATTTGCGGTTGATGGTTTATCACTCAAATACCATATCTTAATTRTCTGGAAAACGTCTGAAGCCGTCTTGCATCTATGCGGGTAAAGYCTCCGGTCTTCGCCTCTCTAAAAATCGAAAATAACTTCTCAGGATTTTCGAGGGGTTCAGAAGAGAGTTTCTACTCGCAAGGGTGTACTTTGGTATAMMCGGTTTATGAGAACCGTTAGTTTCTTCTGAATGAGTTTTTGTGGTTAGCTGGACAGCTGCAATTTCTGTAGCGTGCATGACGGGGACAGTAATTACGACAAATACTTGACAATAAACGAAGCCTGTAAACACTAGTGAAGATGTGCATGTCTGCGCATGTCCGTGTAGCTGGGTTGCTTTCAACATCCCCCTTGTTAAATCTTTCGTTACCCCCCTCCATCCGCATATGATTGCAATCTTTTCTTGTGACATGGATAAAATTTTTACTAGAATAGCAGATGATTAGTATTCTATAAACACCAAAGAACCCGAAAAAAAAAAAAAATAAAAAAAAAAAAATCGACGAACCTATTGTTATTTTGACAGGCACCAGGTCTTGTGGGGTGAAAACAAGTTGTCGGAAACTTCGAGAACGCTCAATAAATTTTCGTTAAAAAGATCACTACTTATCGGCCTCTTTTCTCAATAAAAAATAAATAATATATCGAAAACTTAGATCTAGTCGCTGTTGTTTTCTCGACTTGATTATGTCTTGGTAATATAACCAATAAGAGYGGGRAGAAGCCGAGTTTCTTRGGTTAGTTCCTTTTTACGTTATTTTTGTCTTTCATTAATCCTCTGCTGTTTTTTAGTGAGAGAACAACACTGATCACTCCTTAGTGTAATTTGCAATCTTTGATCTGAAAAATTATATAATCKTTATTATTTCTGTTGCTAAATTAATTGTTTATAAGTTCTAAAAGAAAAGAAAAGTCGTCCGTTTATCCCATCCACTGAAAAAATCCGATACAGTTACGTAATTATTCGGTGTGTGACAGAATTCTTCAATGACCTTTCACCAWCAGCGGGTAAGCATCGCATCTGATCACAAGAACGTCATCTGATTGGCTAGAATCTAGAAATAGTTAAAACCTGACAACTTTGTCATTCTGCGGCAAATAGGATTATATGAAGTAGATGCTGCACAGATAAGATGACCGATTAGAAATTTACTTTGAAACTTTCAAATWTCGTGTGATTTTACACGATGGGAAGCAGCTTTCTCACACGAGCGTACAGTTCTTAACAGTCTTCAGCTGTGTGGTCATTTTGATGGTTCATTTATATGCTTTCGGCGCGACTGTGTTAGTGGTTTTRGGTTACCCTAAGTGCCCTCCCGCACGGCGGGATGTTCGTTGACTGAAGTCCTGACCTTAGGCTAAATTSAATTGCCAAAATAAACCCTACAGTTTCATTCAATCAACTGAATCCAGTAAWACTCACATGTACAGAAGTTTGAAAACCACTGAAAACGCGCACGAACGCGGCTCAGAAAAGAACAATAGGCCATCAAGTTGTCATAATCGGACAGGAGGTAATTGACATGTTTGTTGTGAGATTTGAAGTCTTTTATCTTGAGCTTGCACAGTAGTACAGTGTGCCATTTCTTASGACGAACCATTCAAATGTTCGTATTTGGCGGGTCTTTCTATATCGTGTTTGACCCTGTCTCTTGGTTTTAGACTCCTCTACTTTGTTCTTCCGGTTCGYTCAGAAACAAGTTCGGCTGTCTTCTTGATACAGTTGAAGGCGGAAAACTGTCTCCGGCAAAGGATCCCGTAACAAGTATAGATGTTACGTTGGATCCTGTTACGCGAACTTTTCGATCAAGTGCAGAGGTAAGAAGATACGCGTTTGGTAGTTGCGGTTCGGTTCAGCCGGCACGTAACTGGTTGAATCTWTGAGACATATCATCATCAAGACCATTTTTCATATTTTGAAGGCTGGCACTGATGATTTGGCACCGCTATGTGRGGTGATTGATGTGGTATGATYAACAGCGACTTWAATCCGTGCATAGTTAAGAATTATTACAGTTTTCAGRGGCAGAACTAGTGCCTTTTGCAACACCTCCACTTAGCAAAACTAACAGCACATCTGCCTTACATTGAGCACTATAAATAACCCCTAAAAACCGCCACCAGCACGAGAAATTCCCAGCCGATTGTTCAAGTGTTTGAYAGCGCGCTTAGCGTCGAATCGAATTTCTCTGTAGTGATTTATAGCTCTCTAGTTTATTGTCTCACATCATAGGATTACTCTGAAAATTGCCAGTACTATTTACACGTTGAAATAAGGYATTCAGGGGGGTTGTGYACCCATCCATTCATCGCATAACCAGAATTTCAGAGGAATAGGATATTCRTACGGCGTGTTCTTTAACTCAGCATGAGCCCTCACCGCTCGATCGGCTTACCAACTTGATAGCATAATGGAGTTTTAGATATTCGGTTTTACATTGAAAGAGGATTATTGAGGAATTTTCGACTGGGAGTTTATTATACAACTAAGCAGTTATGACACTTTAYGATATGGAACGTGCGGGGTTTTAATAACATACGTACTGTCTTCGAWCGCCGCGGACCTCTAAGGATCACTCGCTTGATAAAGATCTATCCGCCTTCGCAGACATGGATCGCTATCTGCCAGCTCGTACACAACCGGCCAACCTTTCGCTTTGAGTTTAAAGAGTCTTTACCAAGAGATATTTTGCGTTGGTACAAAGTTGCACGTAGCAGAAACGAAATTATGAAACCTAAGACGACAAATACAAGTAGAAATTTAATATTCAACACGTTGACCCACAGAGATGTTTTCGCGGTAAGGAATTGATCTAACTGGGATACAACAGCGCTCTGAAACGACTTATAATGTGTTCATCCAGATGATCGAATGTATAAAGTTTTTGAAATTCTAATCGGTGTTTACTTCTCTACAGGCCGTGGATTAGATCTTCATTGGCATCAGACCGAAGCTGCGATCAACTCCTTGTATAACATATAAAAACAAGARATTGGTAATACAGTTTAGTTTATTGGTCGCGCGGAAAAGATGCACTTTTCTACTAGAAGTCTTCTCAAGGCATTTATCTTTGTTGGGACGGTTTCTACTGTACTGTGTAACGATAAAGGTAAGTGTTGGTTTAACTACGTCAGATATTAAGTGYGTCCGTCTTATTTTACTTCGGAAGTGAGGCGTTTTTCTAAATGTATGTAAATATTGCTAAAGAACGGACAACAAACATTGGAGGATTCCAACGGATCTAAGTAGATTGTGCTGATTGCGACTTTAWTATACCCTGCTATAACTATTATATACTCTATGTTGCTAGTAGTTTAGTATTAAAGTGATTAGTTCGAGTTTCTCTCCTGTGCAAAGTCAATCACAGACGTAAATTGAACAGAAASGTACGACATAATGCCACGATTGACTTGTATGTTTGGACAAGCTACTGTTCCTCAAACGTCAAAGCCTTTGACTCAATAAACACGGAAAATCAAACAGTTTTGATCAGGCTTAACCACGTGTGACATGCGAAACTTCAGGAGACAAGGATAAACTAATTAGCCTTCGAAATCGGAGAAAGTGTTGAGAAYTTTAGATGAATTTTCAATAGAACATCATCATCCAGACCTTTGAAAACTAAATCCAGATGACTGTATAACTAKGGATTATTTATTGTTAAGATTGACGGCTTATCTACGCGTTCAAAATGTATCAATTTGATTCTTTATTATAGGGATATTATCAGGGTTACAACTTAAGCTCCACTGATAACATCAATAGTTAATCTAGGCGCGCACTTTTCGAGAAAATAGTTTATTATTTAGCTAATTGATTTGCTACCRTGTAATTGTTTTAAGTGGCTTTGTTGTTGTTCTTAGTAAATGCCATCGAAATCAAAGGTCCATCAAGTCTTTATGCCCSACTATCTCTCTAAAGTCAATTAGCTTGTGAACATGCTCTTTTTCTCTGTTACACTTGCGCTAATTTGGATATGTCTATCTTCATAAATGACTTAACTTAGAACAAAGTCTACTTATCTCATTAGAGTTAATTGATTTTCATTTAAGGCTTTTATTATCGGTTCTTTCAAAATTTTAAAACMTTCTTAACCTAGAAAGTACACTCTAAAACCCTCTATGATGCTGTGTTTGTCAATATATACCGCTTGGGGAAAAACGGCATGTTATTTTACTTAGTTTTAGCATAAAAGCACTAGAAGACATCGTTGTCGTTTCTAGCCTCGGGCTACCGTTGAAAAAAAGTTTATAGAACTTAAGTATCCATTTTTCAGACTGTTATATATTTTCTTATGAAAACAAACAATCAAATGGCTCATTTTGCTGAACATTGCCGTCTTGTAGTTCCTTTGTGATGAAAATTTGAATGGAAACACAAGGGGTTATGTTATCACTATCCAACAGTGGGTGGTTTCAACAAATTATACCTTTTCGGTTCCGACTGAATAGATARAYTATACCGAAAAGCTATTTTTAGGGATGTAAGACTCCAATGACTACGTCCATCATTTAGTTTCTTGGCAAAAACATCTAAAAAAAGTACGAAAAAATACCTTTTTTACTGAAAAAAGTTATTAGATTAGCACGGCTATAGTGTTGCGAGGATTTCAGTCCTGTCTGAGCTTTTTAAGGGGGCACCCAGAAACTCATCATGAGATAATTGAAACGAATCGAGTTTCTAGTGTAGCACACTGCATGAGATAGTTCCTTTCTTGCTTTTCTTAAAAAAAGCTAAATCATGTAAAATCTTTTTTGGTTGTACCTAGATTTATACGTACATGTACGTCACTAGAAGTCCATGTGTTGACTTTCTGATTTGTGGAAATGGCAATGCAAAAAGACTTTTCATCGTTTAGTTGCAAAGTTGTAGGAGTAATATGAAATTTAGGAAAGAGGTCAGAAAAAAACAATGTAGTGCCTTCGTCTTGTGCAGTGTCTTGTCTTGTACATTATGATGAGTGATAGTACGATGAGGTTCAGTTTTTATTCTTTACATGAGTAAGCTACAATATATTCATATCACAGTAAAATATATCAGTCAAACAGTAACAGACGAGAAAGTAGATATAAAACACTTTACAGTATGAATATGGTCAGTATATTTTGTACTTATAAACTACTCAATTTTAACCCCGAAATATTCATTATAATAGATCAATTCGAGCTTCAAATCAATTCAAAATTATTAGAAAAAGAAAATCAACGAAGTAGAAGCGGTATYAGKYCTCATTGCGTGTTATTGACAACATAGTCCTCATTCTGCATTTACCACCCATGAAGAGGTATCCGACGTTATTRGGACATCCTGCTGTTGAATGCACAAGGACCGTTATCAATGGAGCAAATACCTTAAATTACTGCCAGACWCTACTAGGATGTCYATTATTCACTGAATTTCGCTTTTACTCCRAGAAATAAGGAAGATTTTCACTTCGAGGTTCGCAGACAGGGATCTGAGTTAGAGTTTTGGCTGTGTTCCTTAGAAGATCACGAGAAGCATAAGTGTTAACAATAGCTGTTTAGGCGTCATGCTATGAYTGAAATCTTCTGTCTGCCATGCTAAATGCTTCTCTGTATTTAGTAACGAGACAGTTGATCTTGTCTCGATTCAAGCTAATGTTTCTTTCATGACCAGAACTCGTGGGCGTAACCGCCAAAAAGGGAAGATGCCTTTTTCTTTCTACATTTTTTCGTTTTTTTTTTCACTTTCGTCTAGTTTCTAAGCACTCGCATTTCAATCCCATTTTTTCTTATTTCCTTTCCGTTTCATTTGATTATTTCCTAACTGACAAGGGTGATTACCTTAACTTACGATGTTAAAAGCAACACAAAATACAAATATAGTCTGCACTTGGGTTGCCGTTTGCCGGCTGCAACGAAGGCCTATTACCATGTCAGATTCCAGTTTTGCAATAAAAATGCTATATTTGCCTGCGTTGCTGCTGGTCGGCTGCAACGAAGACTACACATGTAGCCTGTCGCTTATTTGCAAATGAATGCTTACTTATATTAGCCCGCTATGATTACTAAAAGACTTTTATAATTCCACAGCACCTAAGATAATA